GGGGGGGGGGGTCCGTCCTAGAGATTATCCACGGAAACCGAGGTTCTACCCACAGAGCAAGTTTCACACTACGCTGCATTCTTTCCACCGATCAGCTATCAGCAGTAGGCCCAGCCAGCAGCGTGGCCGGGAACTCAACCTGCCACTGTTTGACAAGGAAGGAGAACCTAGCGACCTAGTTATTGTGCGTGACTTCTAGGCCATCACCATGTTGGTTGTCTGCCATTGTCAATTACGAGACAGGATTTCCCATTCCATGGGAACGATACAAAAAGATCGCCTCTAAATACCGTTGACCCCTACCCTCTACCATTTGAGCCTGACGGGCTACTGGTCTACAGATGGCCCAACTGTTCGAACTTTGGTCGAATTCTTAAGTTTCCCGAAACTTTGGGTGTAGGGGTTATTCGGCGTCCTGATTACGGAAATTTGATTAGTTTTCTGCGTAAGCCGTCATCTGACGCCAGGGGGCACTCCAACGGCGCCGTTTTGGTGTCGCAACTTTCTCCACCAGTTTTTCAGTCAAAGTCTACGTATAACGGTTGCTGGTAGTCCTAACTATAAAAATGACAAATTCTTCACGCTGACGCTATTTTTGCAAAATTTGACAAGAGTCAACACATAAATGCAAGAAAATTGTCACTCGAGGATCGTTAAACTCAGCGAGACCACTTTCACGACCTTTTTGGTATTTATAAGACTGTTCAAGGAAAATTGAAGACATGTTTTGTACTACGATTACCGTTTTGAAAAAGGGCTCCACGTCCTGAACGACCTTCCTTGATAGACTAAGCATTTTTTACTCATCTTTTGGCATTCGAAGCTCAGCCGCTGTTCTCCAACCGTCTGTGCTTTGCTCTTTCTGCGGCATAGAATATGACGAAAGTTCAAAGTAGTTCATATTTCACACCAACAGGGCGGTATTCAATCCTTCCCCCAGGGGATATATCCCCCTCCTCTGATTCAATCCTCTGGGGGACAAAAAAGGGTTGCGTCATAGGACCTAGCATACCTCTGTGTTTCTACCTGCCAGACAGTTAGAGCAGCGCTACTACCCTCCACTGATGAAGCACTCTTTCCCCTGAGGGGTCGCGCTGCTCTAACTGTCTGGCAGGTAGAAACACAGAGGTATGCGAGGTCCTATGACGCAACCCTTTTTTGTGCCCCCAGAGGATTGAATCAGAGTAGAATAGGAAGAGGGATATTGTATCCCGCACTAGGGGAAGGGATTGAAGCACGCCCCCAATTCATTCTGAGCATGCTTTAATTTGTAACCTGTTCAATCAAACGCGGAACAGGATAGGGGCTAGACCGACAGTGGGTCCGGGCAAGCTTGAGGAAGCTCGTTAGCGCGGCGCGGCCTTTATGTATACTTTGCGTTACCACACCCTCTTCTTACTGGACACGGACAAAATGCTCTAATACTCATTTCCCACCTCTACTTAGTGATGAGGAATTTCGATGTCGTGGAGCCACTCCAGTAAGCCTATGGCTGCCACAGAGGCGTAGGTTTTCAGCATTGACGATGGTGGCGGTGGACGTAATCGCGTGTCATCGTCTTCCACACATCGCCATACTTCGGACGAGCTGTCGGGCCCGCGACGGCACCACACCAGCATATGGATGGTTTTCGACACGTACCTGAGATAAAGTTTTCGGGTGGATGATCGGTGAATCAGGAAAGGGTACAAATCACAGATGATGGCGTTAAATTTGGTAGAATATTCATCCAGGAATACGTACCACGGCAGGGGCTCCTGGAGTTCGTTCAGGAAGCAACTCACGGACAGGTCGAAGGTCATTGATTTCATCAATGTCAGGTGCGTCAACTAATATTGGTTGTAACGTTACTGACAGATCTGCCTGTTAACGTCTATAATGGTACCCAAAATTATCATGGCTTGGGTGGTGGTGTCAGGAGTCCGCGATCGCGTCCGCGAGCTTGATTCTTCGGCGATTTGTTTCGCGATTTTGGCGCGATTTGTGGCATGTTGGCTCAATTTCGCGATTGTGCGATTTTTCGTAAATGTCAGGATCACAAGGAGTTGGATAGTTGTCTCTCGATAATACTTCGATTGCCTGTTGTTTAATCCTGCTTAAAGATTGAAAGACGAATGTTTGTGGTTCTACTTGTTTCATGTTCAATGTCTATTAGTTCATTGAAATGCTCTTGAATCGTTCCTATTTTGTTTTGTTTTTTTTTTTTCAGGAATCAAACCAAACCAATCACAAAAATTGCAAGTGCCCCATTTGAACAATTGAAACACTGGATATGAAACAAGTGGAATCATGAGCAGTCTCCATTAAACCATAACCATCAAGCAGAAGTGACGGCGGGATTGGAGAACACCTTGCAGTATGGATGGAAGGGGGCAGATTGTGGAGTATGTGTGTGTTCGTGGGAACCCCGGTCGGCCGAAGTTTGTATCGGCATATCGCGCAAATCGCGAAAGGAAAGCGAAAAATTCGCGTGAGTGTCATGATAAATCGAGCGAATGAATACATCGTAATATCTAGTCGAAACCTGACGGGCGGAAGTGACGGCTTAGAGTTATTCTATGTCTAGCCTTCAGGGAAAAGTACGGTTACATAGCATTTATTGGCATAGAGAGTAACAAGAAAAATAAAGCTTCCACACTTAAAAGAAATTTCACGACTAGAGGCTCAAATTATTGCAATCCAGATATGAAAGTCTGTGGAATTACCTTAGATTTACATTGTGCGCCGACCGTATGGGCGCAGTCTGCGCTCCACTCCTGCAGGAATCTCTCTACGGCCGATGTCAGATCTTTGCGAAATTCGGCGATCGCAGTTGACATGCGGCCTATCGTATCTACCATGAGGCGGGTTGAAGCCCCGCCCATAACGATCACGTGCGCCATGTGTATCGTGAGAGGGTTTCAGCATTTTTTCTTGCTTCCTTCCCTTACCAGTGGCAAAGTCCTTCACGTTGAGCGCTATAATCCACCTGACTACTCATTCGCGGAATAAGCCTTAAGAGCATTGTATCCGAGCAATCAATTAAATTCAAAGATGAGCAAAAAATATGAAAAAAAGCATAAGGACAAGACAGGTTCGCACTGGAATCTTAAGAGATTGTCGACTCATTAGCAAGCATCAACAAATGTGGGAACATTAGGTAAGACGATGTCAGTCAATAAGAGGGAACGGGGCGCAGCGAATGGTCATCAATATGAAACTGTTCAAAACACTCATGACTGGGATATCAAATGCGCGGCCGAAAACAGCCGCTAGCTCACTTTGGTTTTCTAACACTGGAAAACCGTTATCAAGATGTTGGACAGGGTCTTCGACAAGCATTGTGGATGGTTACGCTTTCAGACGCCTTCTAGGAGTGCATGGCTGACTGAGGAATAGAGGTAAGGTCTATTGAGAAACTGTGAGCCGAGACACGAAGACGAGAGAGCACAGGAGACAAGCGAGACGCAGACTATTTCGGGGTTCGTTTTCTACATTTGAAACACTTTCTAACAACGAGATTCGTGAGCAAAAAGTGATCAAAAACCAATAGAAGCATTTATATAGCTCATGAACCACCGTGAGCGGCTGTCTCATCGTGAGCAGATGAAGCAGGCACATTCAATTCAGCAGCGTCGGAAGAAGTCACAGGCGTGGGTTGCGAATCAGACTGCAACAAACTGGGCTCAAAAAAGAATGGCAAGACAAAACAATACAACCGGGGTAATGTTTTCAGATCAACCCTCCACAATCAGTACTATGACACTCGTATAAGCCAAACGGTGAGGAAGTGTTGCCAATATCACCCTTTCCCGCCAGCTGACTACCACTTGTTCCAAATCCTACCTCATTTCACACGAAACTCCAGCCAACAAATTCAATGCGTCCGTCTACCGGTAGGCCGACAAAGTACTGAATCAGTCGTAGCTGATGCAATTACCCCCAAAAATCTGGATTCGGTTTAGTTCGAAGCGTGCCTTTGAGAAAAACTTCAATTGTTGGTGCTCTTAACCTGCGCTCTCTCAGGCGAACCCGCTGGCAAGAGGATACCTGGCGGCGACATTAACCAGTAGAGCAAAGAGTGAGTTGACCATGGGGCGGTATTCAATCCTTCCCCCAGGGGGATATCCCCCCTACTCTGATTCAATCCTCTGGGGGGACAAAAAAGGGTTGCGTCATAGGACCTAGCATACCTCTGTGTTTCTACCTGCCAGACAGTTAGAGCAGCGCGACCCCTCAGGGGAAAGAGTGCTTCATCAGTGGAGGGTAGTAGCGCTGCTCTAACTGTCTGGCAGGTAGAAACACAGAGGTATGCTAGGTCCTATGACGCAACCCTTTTTTGTCCCCCCAGAGGATTGAATCAGAGGAGGGGGATATATCCCCCTGGGGGAAGGATTGAATACCGCCCGCATGAAGGCAATCAAACGTTCGGTGGAACTTTCCGGATGAGTTAGAAAGAAGTGATGAAAGCTAAAATCGATGGGATCATCTTTTATGGCCACGCCCGGGCATGAGGATTTTGCTGCGAATAGACCTTAACCAACCTAATAGGAATACGCGTTGAGACTAATAGGGAGAAAGAGACATGGTTATCGGAGTGACTCACTCTACATCGGCTGCGCGTGGTCATGTCCCCTGGCCGTACCGCGACCACAAAGGCCCTGGACTGATCTTATCGAAAAGGTACTAATACAGATTAAGAGCTGACGGATCGAAGATGAAACAAAAGATGCCGAATGATCGCCAAAACACTTTGTTTAAACTGGAATTTGAACAAGAACCTCGTGTTTTTCTCTACTGAGACACGAGATCCGATCGAATCCAGCCGACAAAAAGTGCTTAAGAACAAAAACAAAAAAAAAACAACCGAAGACTGGTGAACTTTGGCATACCAAGTTTTCAAAATGCCGAAAGACAGCAGTTTACATGGCAAACAAAACAAATCAAAAACTGTAAAATATACTATGATTGAAAAGCGATTGTCTAGTCGACAAAAAAAACGATTAAGTTGAATTCAGTCAACATCCACAAACCTTTGAAGATTCCGCAGCTGTGTGATCAAATGACGATGATGCTTCAATTACTGGCAAAGATTGAGGACGATCAACCGGCTCCACCGCTTCACTATTTTCTGTTATTATTTCAGCAGATGCACGACGAGTTTTCTCCTCTGGAGGCTAAAAGAACATAAACATCAGCTAAGCCTATGAATTGGAAAGAACATTCTCCTACCTTGTAAAATTGACTAGAAGAAGGAGACGGAGCATTTTCGAAATAGTCATCATCTGCAGCTCCAACAAAAATAGGTGTCGTCCAGGACTGGAAAATTAACCTCATATGTATAATCAGACACCAAGACACAACCATTATGGGCTTACCTCGTCCAATGTCATCTGCTTCGGAAGTTTCCGCCTCTGATGAGAGGACGATGAAGTCTGCGCAGATTTTTCGGATTCCGATGTATTATCAACGGTTGCAATCGATTTGTCCTCTTGTGCTACTGTTCGACTCGTATTGTTTGATCGAGACACTAAAAATATCCTCACACACGTGCAACATATGATAACACATGAGAAGAATAATTCAAGGTGAGAAAAGAAAAGAAAGTTGTTTGTTCCGAGTCGACTGGGAGCCAGGATCATGACTTAAGGGTACCGAACTTCTTCAAAACTCCTAATGGAGAGCTAGGTACCTCTAGAGAAACTAGAGCTTGCTATGAATAGGGAAACCTAAATTGCTGGATCTCTAAAGCACACTGTGAGCGGTCAGTTTTGACCCAACGCTGTGTTCGTAGCCATCTTTGACTGCTCACAGTCGCTGGAGAGATTCATTTTAAATTTCGGCGTGCGCCTTTATAATCAGCATTCCATCTCTTTAGAGTGCTCTAGACGGCATATCTAGCCAACAACTTGACAGTAAGTCGCCATCTTGATACTGGCGTGGCACCACAGAATACCACACCTTGCGATAGTGACCTGCAGTACCACACCACCAATACTCATTCTTTCGTGCACGCAGGACTTCTTTCTTTATTCTGCAGATCACACCCAACTAAAACTATGAACGGCGTCGTCCAGAAAACAGTGAAATAGCGTTGCTTATCTACCGTTAGATTTTTATTTTATTTTTTATTTTATTTTATTTTTTTTTTGATAGCGCTTGCAGAACCCAGTTCCACGCCTCCAAGGAAAGCCAAAAACTCGTGTCGTAAAGAGCTAAAGAATATTTTCGATAGGAACATAGATCCAAGCAAGTATAAACGCAAAACGCTAGTCGGTGTGTGAATTCCAGAAAAAAGCCCATTTCAATTGTTTCGCAAGTTGTTAGTGGTTGTACTAGCGATTTCATTTCCGTAGTTTATTTAATTGACTAAAATATAACAACATGGAAGGTAATGACAAATAAAGACGTTTAGCAGGATATTTGCTGGAAGCGAATTAAAAGAAAAGATACTCGAAGTCTTAGGATAACACCACTAAGCCAATATTCAAAATTTTGATAGTTCACAAAACGCCAGTTCCCATGGCCGAGCATTAGATGCAGCAAAAGCTGATGACAGATCGGTGGACCTAGCCCAGATTATACGGTCTTCTCTGCACCTTAACGTGTGGTGGATCAGAGTTGGCAAGCTGTGGTTAGGTCCACCCCAATTAGGGCGCCTGTGTCGTCCAATCGTAACGATCGCACAGTATTAGATCAGAACGTCTAATACTCAGGCAATTCTGACGATCGAAACGCATCCAATGCTGTGCACCGTGACGATCGTTAAGATTCGACGACCAACTATGCATGCGCCCTTGGACAGCGTTTATAGTCCGTGCTGGCGTAAAATGCGTTGAATGGACTACCAGGATTAGATAAGTAGTGATTCGATTGGTGTGGTCAGGCCTCGCTACCATCGCCAATGGAAAAAAAAAACAAGAAAAAGAAAAATGCAGAACAAGCGCATCGATACGTATTAAATCCTTGATAGCGTATTCTACGCATTGCACACCGGCGACAAAAGCTGTACCACAATCTTTGTCTCACAACGAAACAGCCGATGTTTCCATCCCATCAAGCATTTTAGTTTGGTTCCAGTTTTCATAATGCTGGTGGCAGAGTCCGCAACCCGTCCCGCGATTCGCGAAATGCGACAACAGCCGACTCTTGCCGTTACATCGCTTGGGCCGATGTCAGACTATGCGAATCGTTCAATTCCGCAGGTCTGAAATCGGCTTTAGGCTGGCGTCAGAGTTCACGGATCGCGCAGTTCTGACACCAGCCTGAGCGATGTAATGACAATAGTGGCTCCTATCGCACGCATAGTCTCAGTATAAAATCTAAGCCTATTCCCGGGTTATTTCCCACCCATGCTGTCACCGAGTAGAACGTCCCGACATTGTTTCGATGAAATCGAGTCAGGGCATGAATTTCTCTTTTAATATGAGTCCATTTTCGATAGATAGGATATGTATGCGGATCGGAAACCGCGCACTTTACTGCATTGACCGTGAATTCAACCATAGCGCTGATTTGTGCAATGTTAGGATAACTAGCATTATGATGTGAAAATGAATAAAAAATTAACAAAATGTCTACCTACTATTTGAAAGCAACGAGAAAAAATTGCTAGTAGAAAAAACTTAACGAACTTCAAACATTACTAGAGCAACAACCCTGGATCAAATTGGTGGGGTAGCAGCGCTTGTCTCTTTGCCTTCCAGATGAAGAGGGGCGTGTCTGGACGAGTTTTCTGAACTGCATGCTCCATGGCTCCTCTGACCCGCGCGTATTCAAAGCAGCCGCTTCAAAGTAATCCACGCTTGTCATGGGGTGTGCGCCGGATATCTCGATCACTATCTCACATTAGCCATGATTAGCTCTCTTTGTAAGGCCCTAGCGTATTTGTTGCGCAGTTTTGAGTTGCAACGATGGCACTTCAGTGGATTTTTTTTTCAACTCCACACCTCATATGAGTTTGTTGCTTTAATTTATAGGTTATAAGAACTGAAAAAAGGAAACGAATTAAGGAGCCCACACGTAAAACAAATAAAACGAAACCACTGAAGCTGTTAAGCTCAGACATGCATTACAAGCTAGGTTATTATAGTTTACATACACTTAATACCTGCTGATGCGTAGGAAAGATTCGGGCGACGAAAGTTGGTGGGCTCCAAGTGAGAGACCGAGTCGGACGTTGACTTTTCGGTGACACAACTCCGTTGAGTACGTTCTCAAAATTAGCAAAATAAAAGCGAATCGATAACATACGGGACGGAACGGTACTGTTGGCTGAGCTCGACATCCGTTAACAAAGAGCAAAAAGTTAGCCACTTAAGAATCAAAGACAAAAGGCAGAGAATTAGAAGAAAAAACATCGAATGTAGCAGAAAATGAGCAGAATTTCGCTAAACTAACCTGAAAGCTCAGCAGTGTCCCTACTGGCCGTCTGTGAAATTCGAACACTAACACCACGGACTAAAAGCAAAATAACAAAGCTCATGCGATAAGCAACAATAAACTGAATAAACCTAAAGCAAACTGACAAATAAAAAAGCCATGCAAACTGAACCATGAATTATGACTAAGAAATATTTTGCATCAAGTGATTTCGCTGGAAAATGCGACATTTCTTTCAACATCTGATATTTGAGTGAATACATCACGTGGCTGGGGATCACATCACGTGGCTGGTGAGTGGTCTAAATAGAATGAGAACCGAAGTATTGTCCGCCAGCGAGCTGATCAGCTGTCCTCATCGGCTTTTATAAGTTTAGTCCTTCTACTGATAAGGTGTAAATTTGTTTGCGGCTTCCCCAGCTTGTGCACCTTTGTTAAGCTGCGAAGACCAGTAAACGCCAGGGATATGAGCGCGGGTGAGTAAACACTTAGTCAAGCTCCAGACAACCGCGTGTTCTTTTAAAAAAGGCATCTACTGGACATGGTACGTTAGTGCTTGAGAGAAAAATATGAAAAAAGTAAGAGCAAATCACGGCGCCTCGGGCAGCTCATTCCACGGGCCACCGCGTAAGTAAGGAGTGCGCGAAATGGCGGGCGTGGCGCGTTTCTCATCACTGCTGCTCCCCTTTCCCATCAGTCTTTCGGATTCATGGTCCAACTAGTTTCACATTTTAGTGTCCTGAATAAGATCTATTCCAAGAACTCTTCTCGAATAGGGAAAACCATAACTTGCAAATTTTTCGCTGAAGTTCTGACGAGTGGGAAAAATGTAACAGAGAGTAAAAACCGTGTCGCGTGACCACCTTTGCGACGATTGCAAATGCGCGATGCGCCAAAATTTCAAATTGATGGTGAGAGCGCGACTAACCGAGCCAGTGGGCCGTGCCCTACCCTGTCCCCAGAGTGGCGCGCCCTATTCCACTAATCCTATACTGTGGTTGAGGAGAACGGTTGCTCATAGGAGCAGCCATATTCTGCGCTTCTGACTCGAGACATTAGCTAATAACATCACGCGTTCGATGGCGGATCCTATGACGCAACCCTTTCTCCGCCCAGCTTAGAATAGAATCAGCGATGGAGGACACGTACGTCTGGGGGAAGGATAGGGTAAGGCCCATGAATCCAATCTTGGTAGCGCATTTCGCAAATTGTGCGCCACCTGCCAACCACGAGAACTTAGCTCCGCCAATCGCTATCATCGCCTGAAATACGGGTAGGATCTACTTCTCGCCGTAATGCCTGTCGTAATTGCAAACTCAATGTTACACGTACCGAAAACCTTGAAAAAGAAAATAGATAGCACTAATTCTCAATGATAACCATAACGCCTGTGATGTCACGTACGTTACCAAATCTCTAAATTACGACAGAATTCGCAGCGGGAAACATTGTAGTTACCCATATATCACAAGCTTGCAAAATACACACCATGACACGTAATCAAAAATTATAGGAAGTGAAAAATTCGATTTGAAACTTTCAGAACAACTGAAACAACAAATATAACAGGTAGCTATAAAACATTGTATAATCATGTATGTACACAGCAGTTTTGCGTAACAACGTGAAAACTAAACCAAAAACTAGGCAAAATATAGTTTTACAATTCCTTTCCTATTCTGGGGAAAATGCCTTTAACATTACGAGAGACTTTTTTCCATTGCTTTTCCAATCTTGGAGATTACTTTAGGGAAATTTAATAAGAAAAAAAAACCACTTGACAATGTAAAAGAGCAAAAGTCCAAAAAAGTAGTTCATGAAGTAAGCAAAGTTATGATATTTACTTTGAAGTGTAAGAAGTTATGATATTTCGCTTGAAATGTAATTATAACATTTCCCCTTGTTGTAGAGTTTGATTAAAGAGTAACAGCAGATCTAACTACTCACTTGGCGGTGAACTTGTGTTATGAGATGCACCAATTCGGTCCTCATTTAATTTTTGCCTGCCTGAAATGAAAAGCTTTGTACCGGTAATGTAAGAGGGAATAAAAGGATGTGGGTCGCTAGTGCAGAAAGCGACTTTTCCACTTCTTGCAGCGCAAAACTCGCTGCGGGAACCCCAGGTCCACTCAAGATCACGCGTGGACCTATGGTTTCCTGCAGCGAAAAAGGTTCGCGTGCTGAAAGCTTAAAAGTGGCCCTCTGTTCTAGATACCCACAGCGGGTAACAAATGTCAAGGAAACCAACTAGACTGCGGACGATTCTCATCATCTCCATGTTCGTTCTGTAGCTCATTCGTTCGAGATGATCCCTCGGAATGATCGACTGTGATGGAATCGCTTGATTGCGGTGATGTTGTAGTGGTCGTGGTCTCACTCTCCTTTGTGGTGTCTTCTGAAAAAAGATGAAGAAGACGATCCGCAAATTCGAATTAGAACGCATTAAACTAAAAATTCAACCACGTTTGAAAAACCGTCTACGTCATACCAACAGAGCAGCAAATCGAATTCCGATTGGTGTCCAGTGCGGTGCCCACTTCACCGCGAATCACTGACACCATGTTCTTGACCCTGAAACAGCTTGAAATTGAATAGAATCAAGAGGAATACGTAGCGATACCACGAGCAACGGCATAACGCAGAAGAAAGAAAGACGTAAAGAAAAAAGGATGAGAAGGAAGAGCAAGATAAAGAAGTAGGAAATGTATGGAAGAAAATGAAGGAAGAGAGAAACGACTTCGAGCACACTGTTAATTGGGCGGCCGTCAATTACGCTAGCTTTGCTCACAACCAAACCGTCCGACAATTTCCAGACAACAATGTAAAGAGAAAACTCGGCTCCCCACTTTCTTCACGAGTTGGTAGCGCCCGCGAACTGTGCGGGTAGGTTTGAAAACACTCCATCAGCACAGTTCGCGGGCACTATCAACTCGTCCGCGCTCGCCGCGGCCGCGCCCC